ACTTTAAGAGTTAGTCTGTTAATGATCTTACTAAATCTTATTTTCCTCCCGGATGTCATTTTGTTCCCATGCATCCAGATAAATCAATCACCTTCTATAAAGACATAATGTTTAACCACCAATCAATAGTGATTAAACCTATCTTTGACCGCACCTACAGTAGTAAAGTTGTATACCATTCTCTCTACATACATAACATTGTTTCCTTAGCTGAATGGGATTCTCCTTATCAACTTCGAGATTTACCTAATAGTCACTTTAAGAGTCAGTCTGTTAATGATCTTACTAAATCTTATTTTCCTCCCGGATGTCATTTTGTTCCCATGCATCCAGATAAATCAATCACCTTCTATAAAGACATAATGTTTAACCACCAATCAATAGTGATTAAACCTATCTTTGACCGCACCTACACTAGTAAAGTTGTATACCATTCTCTCTACATACATAACATTGTTTCCTTAGCTGAATGGGATTCTCCTTATCAACTTCGATATTTACCTAATCACTCCCTTCAGTATAGTTATTATGACTATATTGATGCCTGGTTCAAAATATTCCTCTATCAAACTGATACATTTAGTCACTCATGGTTTCTTCAATTTGATCAAAAGTTTAAATTTGAATTACCTTCTTGGTTTCTAAGATGGTGGACTCATTATGGCGCCATTTCAGACATCTTCCCAGCTATTGTGCTGGGACAAGCTAACTATTTTTCAACTGTTTTCTCATTCTCTCCACAACAGAAGAAATTCCCTAAACTGCTCATTTTCATATCCAAATACAAAATTCCTTGTATATTTAAATGGCACTATGGCATTTCTGATGATGTGGTTCAAAGGATACACTTGGTTAAATGGTGGGATAACTACAAAATTTCCCGCATTGTTGAACTTGTTCAAGCTGATTTCCTAGTATTTAGTAAATTAAAAAAAAAATTCAGAAATTTTAAAATTTTTAAGTGTATTAGAATTAAGTGTATCTTAAAATAAATAAATAAATAAAAGACAAAAATATTAAAAAGTTCACAAAAACACAAAAAAAAAAATGTGAATTAAAAACTCTAAATCTATAGTAATGCATCAAAAAATTAATAGTGACTTAAAAATTAAAATCCATATAAAATTGTATAGAATCCAACAATCTATATCTATTTATCTATACTATTATTAAAAGTGAACAATTCACTTGGTTTTCATGAACCTTTATCTTCTTTTTTCAAGTGACATTTTCTCTTTGCGACAAGTGTCAATTTTTCTATTAAAAAAAGAAATAGTAGTTCCAAAAGGGGTATAAGATTTGAACCTATAATCATTCATTGATTGACATGATAAAGAACACTTTTATTATTTAAACAATATAAAAATATTTTTTTAATTCAAAATTAAAATATAATACATCTATATAATACGACAAGTAGGTTTTTGAATTTGTTCTACAAACAATTGTCCAATGGACGGTTGAGATCATTGATAAGAACATGATCCCACGACCTAAATCTGTGAGATACAGATAATATGAATGGAAAATGTTATATGTCTCAAATTTTCTACTAAATGAATGATTAAATGTTCACATGGGTGTGGGGTTCACAAAGACCCTACACTCATGTAAGACATTTGGTCATTCATTTGTGGGGTTCACAAAGACCCTACACCCATGTATGACATTTGATCATTCATTTAATAGAAAATTTGATATTCCTAACATTACCCAATATGAATAGGTGAGATTCCACTCTTACAAATAGTTGAACAGCTGAGATTTATTAATCTCAAAATGGACGGTGGTGATGAGATTCTCCAGTCTCACTCGCTGTACCCCAACTTCCTGCACAAGTCCATATGGGAATGCAAATCAACACACCTATTTGTGAACAAACTGAAACTCGGTTCTGAGAGTTTGTTTGAATTCTATTCATTAAATTTTTATTGCGTTTGTGTTTGAGTTTGAACTCGTTAAAATCTTAATAAACAAACTCAAGCATACTAAAATTTGGTTTGTTAGTTCGGCTCATTAGTTAATTCGTTTAACATTTATTTAAATAATAAAACAAAAGGAAATACTATGTTGTGCACTATATGCACCTTATAACTAAAAAATGACATAATTTTAATTTTTGGAGTCATAACTAAAAAATATATATCATAACTTAACACAACATAAAACATAATTAAAGAACTCATGAGTCATAACTAAAGAATAAAATTTTTCATAACTAAAAATAAAAAAAAAATAAAAAAAAACATAACTAGAGGTGCATATGATACACCATTTTCAAAAAGATGCATATTAAAAATTCCATAGAATAAATATATTAGTTATATATTAAATAATGTAAAGATATGTATAAAAAATAGTCTAAATATGTTATTTATATATGTAAATAATAGCTAAATTTATTTATACGTAAATAATAGCTAACTATAAATAATACATTTATATAATAATAATGGTAGATATTATTATTTTGATAAAATATTGACTTTTTTTAACATGTTTATATTATATATATATATATATATATATATATTATTGTATAATCAAAGTTTCAATTATAATTTTAATTTCATACGCAAGTATGAATTTGTAATTTCTTTGGCTTATTAAGACTCGGCTCGGCTCAGCTCAATTCATTTGCAACCTACCAAACTCTCTCTCTCTCTCTGCAACAGAACAGTTTAATCGGTCAAGTGGGGACTCGAGTTTGGGGCTTCATCGATTCTGAGCTCTCAAAGCAAGCACCATTAATCTCTCTTTTTCTTTGTTTTCTATTTGATTTTGTTTGTATATGAACTCTTGATTTTGTTTGTATATGAACTCCTAATGTTATGTGAAGGCAAGGTATATTGTAATATCTCCTCTCTTCTATAAAAATGGGGAAAAATCTAATAACTTACAAGGATACTAAAGCTCCATTTGGGAAGATAGTTTTGAGGTTTTTTTTTGGCTAAAATAGCCACAAAAAACAAAATAGATTTTTTATTCCAACAAGACAAAATATCACATCCAACCCATAATCATTACATTCTTTCTCTCAAAAAAAAATCAAAAGTCCTTCCCAAATTATACTTTTTAGCCCCAGACAAAAATAGCCAAAAAAGCCAAAAAGTCAACCCACTTCCCAAACGGTCCCTAACAATTGATTAATTTCTGTTTGATATTTATTATTATATTGTCACTATCTTTGTGTGTGTGGGTCTCTTTATTGAAATTGTGTTACTGTAACTCTTACTTGGCCCGGTCTTGTATTTTGATACAAGGTATATTGAATGTATATAATGTTTTTTGTTGCGCATTTTTCTGATGTTTATTTTTTATTTTTTTTTTGTAAACATATACTTTTTCTCATGTTGATGTCTTCATGTTTTGTCCCCTTAAAAAAAGTTGTTTCTTAGTCACATTTTTGGTTCTTTTTTTTTTTTTTTTCATAACTGCCTTTGTTTATAAACCAGTAATCAGGTTTTTTGCAAGTGGGAAGAGGGGGAGTAGTAAGTGTTGCAGGTGGTTTTAAGGATGTCCCCTTAACCGGGTTTTTGGTTGTTTTATTAAACTTAATTTACTCATATGATCCCCTGTCTGTACCTTAGAAGTACTTATTAGTTGTGTTTTGGTTCACAAATTTTTCTTAAAGGTGGCAATTAGTTGGGTTTACAAATCAAGTTGTGAATTGGCTGATTCTTGGCTGATTCATTATTGAGCCATAAATTTGTTAAAAATATTTCATTTGTTTGGTTGTTTTGCTTGATTATCGAAATACATTGCTTTTTAATCAATGTATAGATTTTTCTAATTTATTTTACTTCTTTTAATTTTAATTTGTTGCATTTTTTTCATTCTCAAAAGTGGTGGAGAGAAGAAGTAACCCAATATCTAGCTTTGTATTACACTGTAAAGGTACGTTAGTTGCTTTGCTTATATTTTAGAACATCTTTTTTAACTGTTTTTAAGCTCTGAAATTGCTCTTTTTTTCATTATATTGGTTCAATTGCATTGATCAATTGGACGTTGGATAATGCAAAAGACCAAGAAATTTGGCAGCTTACTATGGGATGTAATCTTCTAGGGATGTAAGAAAAATGGTTGCTTACCTTTTTTTGCTCTAAATAGTTTTAATGCTTTCAATTGAATCTTATTACATGTGAAGTTATAAAATATTTTGGATTGATTATGAAAAAATGTTGTGTTGATGCCCATTTTAAGTTTTATGATTTTGTTATTTGAGCACAACCTTTGAATAATATTTTTTTTAAGGGGTACAGTAAATGGTCATCTCTAAACCAATTGTCTTCCTTGTTCAAAGTACGAATTCTTTGGTACCCATTGGTATTTTGTACAAGATTTTGCTTAGGATGGTAAAACTTTGATTCGAAAGTTCCCGCCACGAATCAAGTGGAGATCCTCTCCATTTCATTTTTACAATAAAATATCTCTATTATATCATCTAAGAATTGTGAAATAATTATGAGAATTTATCAATATTTTAAATTTAGAAATCACCTCATTAAAAAAAATTAATAAAAAGAAAAAGAAAAAAAAACACTACTAGAATCAACAGGAGAAATATTTTCATAAATGTTTGAAAGGGTCTACCTAGGTACAAGAGGGATACAACTGAAACGAAGGGCTAATTGTACCATGTCCTTTTAACATATATGGTAAATTCCATGGTATGCACCCCCAACACAAAAATGTGCCATTTTATCAAAAAAATTCATAACATTAACTATAAAATGTGTAATCTCACCATAAATTTATGTTATAAAATGTCCAAATTTTTGTAGTTGATGTTGCAAAAATTTGTGGTTTGGTTACGAAATTTTTTGTTATGCCAATTTGTGGTGAGATTATATATTTTGCAGTTGATATTACGAAATTTTGTAGTAGGATACATACACATAATATTGCAAGTGTATGTGCATGTGATACAAGGTAGAATAATGAGATGAAACTCAAATACAAAGATTAACTACAAATTTCATAAAAGAGATACTCTCTCTTGAAATATATTATTTATCTCAAAATAAGATGCCCTGCCCTAAGACTCACTATCATTATTTATAGGGAAGAAGCCCCAATACAATAGGAGATAAGCTAAGGTAATACTCACTAATGAAGCCTAAATCAAAGATATATGAAAATTACCAAAAATAGAAAATTTGAGTTAATCTCAAATCTAAACTAGAATAAAACATTTTGGGAAAAACCTAACCTCGAACGGATTCATTTACACCAAGGAATTAACGAATCAATTATTTTTAAAAACAAGTCGTGAAATTGGAGACCCAAATATTAGAATTTGACCGAAATCCGTTGTACGCCATGGCAAATATATGGATATTGATTGTGACGTCATTTTCAGTGTTTCGACTAAATTCCACATCATTCCGAGCAAGTACTAACTCACATCTACTAGTGCCTTTTGCCTTTGCTATGTTTATCCATGAGTTCTAGAAAACTCTATGACCAAACACTCTGCATCAACATGTCAAATACTTTGGATGTGAAGGAGTTGCTTTCTGATCTTGTTCAGCTTGACAAGAACCTTTTTAATGTCACTCCTCTCTGTAGGTATATCACTGGTGCACTCTAATCCCAACTCTAAAATAGCAAGAAGAATGCTTTCTGAGGTAACCACGTCACTGCCATTTTGCATCCTCAATAAACCATCGTCCACTATTTCCATAATTTTGTTGGGAAGTGATGTGCTCACCCATTGCCTTAAATTGATCTCTGCAGAGAACATTTCATCTGTGGGTTTCTTTCTTGTGAATGTTTCCAAAAGCATCACACCATAGCTATATATATCACCATTTGTTGAGACTCGTCCTTCGGAGCCATATTCTGTATAAAATATGAAAATTGTTATATATCACTGATCTTTATTACCATTTTATATTGCCATCTATATTGATACTTATAATTGACTTCCTTGTTTGAAGATAATTACAAAAAAAATTAATGGAAATAACTAATATCTTATCAAGTATCCTGGTCATATAAAACGGTAAAAAAAATAGATAATATATAGCATTTTAAGGAGGTAACTCAATTAGGCAAAATATTTTATTTCAAAATTGGTTAAAATGATGGATAACATACACACCTATGATCCATAAAATATGCATTTTGTGTCACTTTAATATACCAAATTTGAATTTTTGTCGATAAATTTTTTTAAATTTGAGTCAAAGTTCTCCAATTTCACCCTATGGTCTAAACATTAACAAAATAATAATATAAATTCATCTATGGTACCAATAGTATGTGTGTCATATCACTTGAGTCTCTAAAGTTTTAAATTTATCAACTTTATCCAATAGCATTGTAAGGCTGTGCTTTGTCTTCTTAATTTAGTGTTTAAGTGACCAAAGCAAGACTTTTGGAAAATAAGTGACATGAAACACTCTTTGAGGATTATAATTGTAGTTATTACTATTTTAATGATTTAAACAATCCCTTTGAAATTAAACCAATTTGTTTCAAATTGAAAATTTTAGGAATAAAATTGATAAAGTTAAAACTCGGGCGATGAAAATAACATGACAGAACATATATTTTAGGAGTTTAGGGCATATTTGATTGACATGGTTAAAGAATGGGATTGGAATTTGGAATTATTAATTCGTAGCCCAATAATTCTTTGTTTGTTTTGAAATTTTGTTTTAGGATTATTAATCCAATGGATAATAAATCCAACAAATTAGTAGGATTATTAATAATGGGGTAAGAGTGGGATTATATATCCTGAGTTGAGAAATAAAATAAAAAGACTCTTTTATCTTCATATATTTATCCAATGCAAATCAAACAATGGATAGGGGGATAATTTATCCTACTAATTCAATTGGATAGTGAATATCACACTAATTTAATCGAATTATTAATACCTTCACTATTAGTCTTGTAAATCAAACATGGCCTTAGTGTATTTTATTCTAAAATGATTCATTGCCTCGTATTTTCTTCCTTGTTTTCTTTTTGGCTAGATAATCCTTTAACGTAGTAATCTAATTAATCTATACTTAGTGTCAATATTAGGCATGCGGTTCAACATTAAAGTTGCATTGAAAAGCCTGAACCTATCTCAACTTGACAATATGTTCTTGATGAAAGCAATATATTGACACCTACACAAAAGCCATCTACGGTATTTCTTCGGCGAACTTAAAACATAAAATTTACATTCAAGACATGGATGCCAAACAAATTAATAAATACATAGAAAATTGATTTGTAACAAGTCTATCAAATGAGAAACATAAAGTAAATAAAGGTAATTAAAACATTTACCTGGAGCAATATAGCCGATGGTACCTAAAGTCCTGGTTTGTGTTGCAGTCTTGTTTTCAGCTAAAATTTTTGCAATGCCGAAGTCAGCAACATGTGCAACCATGTCTTCATCTAGAAGGACATTGCTTGGCTTCAAATCACAATGAACCACAGGCTCTAATTGACCATAATGGAGATATTCCAGAGCTAATGCTACATCAATCATGATGCCAATTCTTTGAAGGAGATTAAGGCAGGAGTTTTGAGAATACAACCACATTTCAAGGCTTCCATTAGACATATATTGCAAAACCAATGCTCTTAGCTCAGGATTAGAGCATGTCGTTATAACTCCAACGAGATTTCTATGTCGAGTTGTTCTCAACACTTTACATTCTACATCAAAACTTCTGAAAGCTCCTTCAAGTTGCAAATTTAAAACCTTAACAGCGACAATTGTCCCATCTGAAAGTGCACCTTTGTATACCGAGCCATAGCTTCCTACTCCAAGCAAGTTGGCTTCGCAGAAGCCATCTGTGGCTCGTTGAAGCTCTAGATATGAAATCATTATGTGTTCCGTTGTTGCATATAAATCTATCAGATTTTGACTTTGGACATTGTTTCCATGATTTCTTTTCACAATATACACACCAATAGAAAAGATTAGCATCAATACAATGATAGGAAGAATGTATCGAAGATTAATTTTAATCATCGACTTCTCAGAACTATTGCTTGCACATGGTGGCACTTTCAAAATAGGATTCCCACAAAGTGCTTCATTCTCCATGAAAGACCGTGATGTGAGGTTCATGAACGGCCCTTCATTTGGAATCTCCCCAACCAACTTATTGCAAGAGAAATTCATGTATTGGATATGTGAAAGTGCCTCAAGAGACTTAGGTATCTGTCCAGATAGATTGTTGTGTGAAAGATCCAAGAAATCCAATGTTATCAAATTACCCATTGTGTTGGGAATGGGTCCCGAGAATGAATTCCTAGACAGGTTCAAAGAAGTTAGGCTTTGAAATGACCCAATAACTCTCGAAATGCTTCCTGAGATTTGATTCCAAGATAAATCCATGATTTCCAACACTCTCGATGGCCTTATGTTTGGATCTAGGCTTCCACCTAATGAATTGAACGAAAGATTCAAGAGCCTTAAAGTTTCAAGGTTCCATAAACTCGACGGTATAAAGGTCAATTTATTTTGACAAAGCTTCATCACCTGCAAACCTCTAAGATTTTCAATGCAACTTGGGATTGATCCAGATAACTTATTTTGCTCTGCATAAAGTTCCCCTAAGTTGCTCAAAAGGCAAATCTCATTTGGAATTGATCCATGAAAGTTGTTTCCGCCAAGATACAACCTTTGCAAGCTTTTAATTTCTCCAAGAGTTGAGGGGATGTTTCCATTCAGATTATTGGCAGCCAATGAAAGTAGAGTCAAATTCCTCAAAGAACCAATCTCTTTAGGAATTGTACCAATTAGTTGATTTTCAGAAACAGAAAGCATTTTCAAAGAGTTTGAAAGATTTCCAACAGAATTGGGTAGGGTGCCACTCAATTTATTTTGTTTCATTGACAACACCACCAAGGAAGTACAATTTGTCAAATCTGTGAGAAAACTAAGTTCAATACTTCCTGGTTCATTTGTCAGTTGATTTCGAGTTAAAACCAAATGTTCTAGGTGCTTTAGATCGCCTAAATGTCTTGGTACTGGTCCAGTAAACAAGTTGGCACCTAGAAATAGCACAGCGAGCTTAGAAGAATTGGAGAGAGATGAAGGGATGTTTCCAGTTAGTTGATTGTGATCCAAAAAGAGGAATTCAATATTATAATATTCTGGATGCAACCTATGCTGATTTATATTATAATATTATAATATTCTGGATGCAACCTATGCTGATGTTTCCAGTTAGTTAGTTGATAGAGGATTATTTTGGCATGCAAGTTTAACAAATTCCTTAACCCCTTCTATATATTCTGGATGCAACCTATGCTGATTTATCCAACTAGTTAGTTGATAGAGGATTATTTTGGCATGCAAGTTTAACAAATTCCTTAACCCCTTCTATATATTCTGGATGCAACCTATGCTGATGTTTCCAGTTAGTTAGTTGATAGAGGATTATTTTGGCATGCAAGTTTAACAAATTCCTTAACCCCTTCTATATATTCTGGATGCAACCTATGCTGATGTTTCCAGTTAGTTAGTTGATAGAGGATTATTTTGGCATGCAAGTTTAACAAATTCCTTAACCCCTTCTATATATTCTGGATGCAACCTATGCTGATGTTTCCAGTTAGTTAGTTGATAGAGGATTATTTTGGCATGCAAGTTTAACAAATTCCTTAACCCCTTCTATATATTCTGGATGCAACCTATGCTGATGTTTCCAGTTAGTTAGTTGATAGAGGATTATTTTGGCATGCAAGTTTAACAAATTCCTTAACCCCTTCTATATATTCTGGATGCAACCTATGCTGATGTTTCCAGTTAGTTAGTTGATAGAGGATTATTTTGGCATGCAAGTTTAACAAATTCCTTAACCCCTTCTATATATTCTGGATGCAACCTATGCTGATGTTTCCAGTTAGTTAGTTGATAGAGGATTATTTTGGCATGCAAGTTTAACAAATTCCTTAACCCCTTCTATATATTCTGGATGCAACCTATGCTGATGTTTCCAGTTAGTTAGTTGATAGAGGATTATTTTGGCATGCAAGTTTAACAAATTCCTTAACCCCTTCTATATATTCTGGATGCAACCTATGCTGATGTAAGACTGTTAATATCGCAGCTTGGCATGCTCTGCAAAGAATTTTGCATGTCATCTCTAACCTATGCCTGTGTCTAGAAGCCTTGTTTTGATATTTGGTGGGAATTGATTTTTTATGTATTTAAAGGAAGGTTCTTAAGACTTGTATTTTCAACAAAAATAAGCTTCTGCAAATCTAAATTCAATTTTTGGGAACATGAATCTTAAATCCTCTTTGGGTTACGCATGCATTTCAAAAAATGTAGGGGAGCTTTTGGTCATTTGATGTACCCTGAGTGATATCAAGACTAACGGAGGGTTTTTCATGGTTGATCTATTAAAGTGTATTAATTTTTGCCTTCCTTGGGTTGTGTCTATTTAACTTTCAGGAGGCATATGTCAACCATGGGAAACCCTCTGTTATTTTGTCATTGTATGTACACTCTGATTATTTTAGACTCGCTTAATAGTAAATGTCAAAAACCTAATTGAGTCATCTAGGTACTCATCAACACTTCACAACATATCTTCCATATACTTTTAAACTAGTTAACATTTTGAAAACTTTAAATTACTTTTTTCCAGCACAAGTGTCATCTCAAAGCTCTTCAAGGAAAGAAACTAGAAGCAATATTCTGATGAGGACGACAGGATGTCATATTCTAATGGTCATCACTTACTTTTTTCTGTTGTCGTCCATTAATATTAGAATAACATTACTCAATGCATTGATCTAAAAACTGATTTGTCCACTCATTCTTAGAATTCTTATGTAAATTAACTCTTCTATACATTTATGGATCAGTTTAAGAGATAATTGGTAAAAATCAAAAGGACCTCAATTCTAATGCATGCTTTATTATGTGTCAACAATGCAAGATTCAGGACAAGAATGAAGCAACTCTTAGAGATGAATACTTGCAAACCAGATTCAGGACAAGAATGAAGCAGCTCTTAGAGATGAATACTTACAAACCAGATTTGATCGATCTGGTTCAACGATCTGATCTGATCTGATCTAATTTGAAAATGAAAAAATTAGAGAGTAAATCAGCAGATTTGACAATGAGAAAGTAGACCAACAGAGATCGCACTGGTTCAAACTCGAACACCGATTAAGAGAATGAAAATTGTACCTGAGATAGGAGCAACAGAGATCCAGAGTTCGACGAATATACAATGCAAAATCTACAATCGAGCGAGAGAGAGTGTGTGTGTGTCTTTGATCTGGTTCGATGAATATCAGTCGAGGGCTTTGGAAGAGAGAGAGAAAGAGAGAGGGAGAGAGACCGAGCTACGGAAGAGACGGAGAGAAAGTGAGAGACAGAAAGTGAGAGACGGAGTATGGATGGTGTCAATATATACACCCGATACGACGTCGTTCAACTGAGCTCTAAGACAGCGTTTTGAAAACGTTGTCTTTCATCAACCTATAATGGCGTTTTCAAAAACGCCACAAAAAAAACGTTGCTGTAGACCATTTTTCCTGTAGTGTTAGGAAGGAAAATGCCATTATTTGTTGGAAGGTTTCCAGGAAAGGCATTAAAATTCAAGCCAATTTGAACCATTGAAGTCTTGTTAAAAATTGCAGGAGGTATTGGACCTGTGAGATAATTGACTGCAAGGTCAATTAGATTCAAATTTGGAAGTTGTGCCAATTCAGTTGGAACGTTTCCATAAATGTGATTCATTTCTAGCCCAAGCACTTCTAAGCTTGAAATGTTGCCAAAGGAAGGTGGAATAGTACCTATAAGTTTGTTTCGTCCGAGAGCAAGGAAGCGTAGAGAGGGCATGGTGCTCAATTCTTTCGGAATTCTACCACTAAATTTATTACCAGCAAGAGATATCACTTCAAGCCTTTGACAGTGGTGTAAACCCAATGGGATGTTTCCTTCTAACATATTACGAAATAAATAAAGGGTTTTTAGGCGACGCAAATGGCCTATTTCATTTGTCAGATGACCGTAGAAGCTATTGTTGCTAAGATCGAGTAGTTGAAGGAAAGAAAGATTACCGACATGAGGAGATATGGTGCCTTCGAGACCCATGTTGCGAAGCTTCAAGCTTGTGACTCTTTGCCTACGTCGGCTGCATAAGACCCCCGCCCAGCCACAAAAATTGGTTTCTTTCGTCCAGTTACTCAACACATTGTTGGGATCATTTTTGATGGATGATTTGAAGCTGAGGAGAGCTAATTGGTCTGTGAAGTTCGAGGAACAAATGGCCAAATCAACCATGCATAAGTGCACTAACAGTGCCAGAGCTCCCATAAGAGTAGCATTGTACAGCCTCCTCGCGGACATGATTGAGAGAGAGAGAGAGAATGCTTAAGCTTAAGCTTGTGAAAATGTACAATCATAGTCGTATCCATACATTATATATAGAGTTTTCCATGTAATCTATTCGTCAATAACTAACTATAGTTAGATTGTACGAGTTTAGAATTAGTTTGAACTAGAGTCAAGTTAGATGGTTATGGTAGTGTATATATTTAAGGGATGTATCATTGCAAAGACTTGAAGAATTCAATACAGATTTTATTCTTTCATTGAAATTCATCACAAAAAAAAAAAAAAAAAAAAAAAAAGATGATTTTTTACCAATTTTGGTAATGTGAATCGTTTACTTTTTATGGCTTATTGAGTAAAATTTTCATACAAAAAATTAAAATGATTAAATATTGGTACCCATATGTTTGAATCATATTTATTTTACAAAAATGGATTATAAATATAATTTTAAGAATAATCATTTTGATTCATACATATAATTACCCATGTCTGTTCATTTTGATTTTTTAAATAAATATTTTACTCAACGAGTCCTAAAATATAAACGACTTAATCACCGAAATAGGACCTAAACTAGGCCTAACAAGTGCAAACATTTTTTCAGGTTAAGATGATTAATTTGAAATAAACCAAACCCAAAAATAATATATATAGCGAGGAGAATGCCTTCAAGTCCAAAATTTGGATTGAAGGGCACTATCTGGGCCCATGATTCTCATCCTATTTTGATGATCCGAACTGTTTATTTTGTTGGGCATTTTATGTATTTCATTCACACAAAAATATTAGGTCTATCTGTTAATTGTAGCCTATTTAATTTATCATATTTGTCGCAAAAAAAATTAGGTCGATCTGTTATTTTATTTTTTAATTATATCTAGAATAAGTGAATTTAAAAGTAAAAGGAATTTTCTTAAAAAAATTCAAAAGGGGTACTTACATGTAAATCTTAATAAGTGGACTTATTGTTTAATAGGTTCTATGGGAAAAATTTGTCATAAAAAAATATCATTAATTGTTAGTTTTAGCGACAATTTATAAAAATCATGACAAAAAAAGTCACTAATTATTAATTTTTAGCGACATATATAAAAAATTGTCACAAAAAAATTATTTTTAACAACAATTTTACCAAGACTTATTTTCAATAGAATTTGATGGGAATTACGTTCAACTATTATGACCTATTGGTAGTTTATCCAATTCAAAAACTGTTATTAAAAACTTTTACCAAACAAAATGATTTCAACTTCTCAAAGCAATGAATTTTTAATAGGCGTAGATTCTTATTGGGTGATGTCCACTAATTATTAAATACGATCAGATTATATAAAATAAAATGTTAACAATGTAAACAGGAGCCGTTAATGGCACGTCAAAAAATTATAGTTTTGTTTAGTTTAAGTTTTCAGTTTTAATTTGTTTTATTGATTTTTATATCATATTTTGGCATTTTTTTTTAATTTTTAAATACATTAAGATTAGATAGATCTAAAAAGTAAAACAATTTAGCTAAAATAAGAAAAGAATCACTAAAAATAAATAAAAACAGCAGTGATTTAGACCCCCTCAAACTTCAACCCCCACCACCCTCACACACACGTGGCGGGTGGTGATTGGAGGAGAAGAAAAAAAGAAAAAAGAAAAAGTGACCAATCAAAAAAGAAAGGGGGTCCAAGGGGGTGGGGGAAAGGAGGTCCCAATCTTTATTCTTTTAAAAAATTAAACTAAACACTGTGCCGTTTGGTAACACTTACGTTTTTAGTTTTCTGTTTATATTTACAAAAGTTTAAAAAACTGAAATAAAAACTTGTTTGGTAAAATTTTTGATTTATAAATCAGTGGTCTCAGTTTATAAATTTGGCCAAAAAATGAACTTACTTTAAAGAAAAATTTCTATTTACTTGCCTACTATGGTTCGTCTTCGGCGAAATAGTGAAATTCGAAGGCAAATTTTGATAGGCTCGTACAGCTTTGTTTTAGGTCCGATTTCGATGCTATTTTTTGCATTGGACTCATCTCAAAGAGTACTTCACACTAGTATGGTCGAAACTAGGTTTTGAGAATGTTGAAAATTGCATTTTGTTGAAACTATGGGCTGTTGCACAATTATCGGCAAGCGTTGGTCAATTTTTGCTCCTCTGGTTATTGGCTTTGGACTCCTTGAGCATAGTTACAAAATTATATCACATGAGTTCCAAACAAATCATAACGATGGGCCAAGGTATTGTTAACCCCGAGCAAGGGTCGTAGGCTGCGATATTATAACCCTCGGGCGAGGGTGTAGGCCAAGGTATTCTAACCCCCGAGTGAGGGTGTAATATATTGCCGAGTGCGAAGAGCGCTTCAAAATATGGACTTTCGTGCCGAGCTAGAGATATTTCTATGTGCCG